TAGTAGTGATATAAGATATGAGCTGTTGGTAGGTGTACATTACCCTTTCCACTGCAATCATAACAGCTGTCCTAGTTGACATTCTGTCCAGCAGGGTGTCAGATTTCTTCTTACTTCACATCCTCACAGGCATTTGTTATTTTTTGGTAATTTGGTAATAGTCATTCTAAATGGAATGAGATGATTTCACTGTGGTTTTGATTTGCATTCCTCTGCAGACAGGTGATAGTGAGCATTTTTCAGATGCTTACTGATTGTATATCTTCTTTTGAGAAATATATATTCAAATAGTTTGCTCATTTTTAATCATATTTTTTTTCTGTTGAGCTGTTTGAGTTTCCTGTATATTCTAAAAATGAATCCCTGGTTGGGAGAACGCTTTGCAGATTGTTCCTCTCATTTTGTAGGCTGTTTCTTCATTCTTAATTGTTTCCTTTGCTGCACAGAAGCTTGTTAGTTTGATGTAATCCCATTTGTCCATTTTTTGCTATGTTGCTTGTGCTTTTAGGGTCATATCCAGTTTTTTTTTTCCCCATACCAATATCCTGAAGTGTTACTCTTATGTTTTCTTCTGATAATCTCATAGCTTTGGTCTTATAGTAATTCACTGAGGAAATGAACTTAGAGTTCTGAAGTGCCCGGTCTAAACCAGGTGTTACTCATTTTTCAGTTTGTGAGTAGGCATCCACTCTTCTTTATTCAGATGTGTATAAAGCCTCAGGGCTCTCAGGGGTTATCCACCAGTCTTTGACCCTTCATTGCAAGGAGAAAAGCTATCTTAACCTGGTGTGGACCAATGGTGAGGGATGTTGTGGCAAGAAAGGGAAGAGTCTTTTCCATGGATAACATCGATGTTTTTCAAAAGTGATTTGGACTAATGGTCCACACTTGTAGTTTTCCTCTTAGTGTTCTGAGAAAAAAATCCAGAAAAGTTCATAGGCCAAATATCTGGTGCTTTTCTTCTTGAGTTCCCTTACTTTTTTCTTTCTAAATTCTCCCAGGCAGATATGGCCTTTGCCAGTTTAAGAATTTCATAATGAGCAAGTACTGAGTTGCAGGTAAGTCCTTATTGGTAGTATTTTCTTCTGGCCTTAAGAATTCAGTGTTTTGGGAAAATAATTTCCCCTACAAAAAAAGTAGGTGTCCACTCACAGTATAAGGGAGGAAACATAATTATCTTGCTATTGTCCATAGTTCTAATTGGGACAGGCCCAACTAAGAAAGGCAGGTTAACAAGAGAAAAGCAGAAATTTAATAACACGTATAAACAGGAGATAACCTTAAGGAATGAGTAAGTCTCTAGAGTAAACCTCAAGAGTTGTCTTAAACTTCAGGCTTAAATACCACCACTCTCTGAATGATGAAATACCCTTACAAGTGGAGCATGGGAAGAGGCGGAGTAAGCACTCAACTCATCTTCAGCCATGTTTGGGGTACAGACATGAGTTTTAGCTTTAAATAGACAAAGGGTACAACCTCATCTTTACAGACAATTGTCCTCATTTGGAGGGGGTGGTCTGTCCTGCAAAACTCCACTGTTCCTTAGGGGAAGTTCCAGTCCTGTGTCATAATGATGTTATCAATCATTCCTGTCCTTCCTTGATTCCAAGGTAGCTGCAGGAGAGAATGGCTCAGAGCAAAGGACAACAGGCATACAAATACAGAAAAGAAAAAAAAATACAGAAAGAGATGCTAAGCTTTTCTCCTGCTTTTAGTTAATTCATGGGCCCAAGTAAGGAATCAGTGATTTTCAGCAAAAGCAGTTTCAGCAACTCTTATAGTATATTCTGAATGCTGTCAAGAATCTTCAGCCTCTTGGATCTTTAAAATAAATCTTAGTTTGCTTTGCAAGGGTAAAGAACTCAAACCCCATCCCCTCCCTCCACACACAAAATAAAAATAAAAAATTGAATTAAATTAAAAAGTAACACATGCTTACTGAAAAAATATTATTAAAGAGAATAAAATTGTCCATAACTGCTACCATTCTTCCAGACAAAAATAAGTACCATCATCATGTTGTACCCAGATCGCAAGACCCCAAAAGACCACTTAGGAGTCCAAAGTCACATGCAAAAACAAAGAGCCTTTATTCGGGCTTAAGCTCGGGCTCTCCAACTTCACCGACACAGCGGATCTGCACAGAGAGCCCTGAGCCTCACCCTGGCAGGGTTTTTATTGGGGAAGGGCAGGAGGCAGGACTTCCCATCCTGGAGGTGAACAGATTGGACGTTATTCAGGTAAGGGGGTCTTGTCATATTGGGATTGGTTTTTACTCCACTGTGTCTTGGCCATGAGGAATGTGGCCAGAGTTATTCCTTATTTGGTCACCTTGAGCAAAGGCCTGCTTTGCTCAATTATGATTGGACCAGGGCTGAGATGGTGCATTCCAGAGGAGGGTTCATACCCAGGTTATGGTACATTCCAGGGATGAGGTCATGCTCAGGTCAGTTCTAAGAAACAAAGAGCCTGAGCCTGAAATGACGATGTCCCTGTTATTTTTTAACAGGGGCCCAACATCCCCCCCCTTCTTACAGTAAATTCTTCAGGCCCAATCATGGGTCTGAGGAGGAGGTAGAGGTTATAGTATATAGAGGTTGATATTGCGACCTTAGCACCATGAGTTGGACTGTATTTACCCGTTCTCTGATGAAAGTTAGCAGCCAGTTAATTATACATGGTCCTATAGTCAACATTAATAGGAAGAGTATTATAGGCCCGGCCAAAGCTGAGAGTAAGGTGGTGAGCCATGGAGACCAATTGAACAATTGTTCATACCATCCTGAGTTTTTAGGCTTTCTATCCTTGATCCTTTTTCTAAGCAATGTCATAGAATCTCTAATAAACCCTGAGTGGTTAACATAGAAGCAACATTCTTCCCCTAAAGCTGCACATAAGCTGCCTTGTTGTATGAAGAGGAGGTCTAGGCCTGTTCTGTTTTGTAGAGTAACCTCTGCCAAGGAGTTTAGAGACTCTTCTAATTTAGTGATTGACTGTTCTAGGTTTTTGAGGTCAGAATTGATGGCTGCCTGGAGAGCCCTATAATTTTTGTCCTGCAAAATTAAGGCTGAAGTACTGACCCCAGTTGCCCCAGCTATTCCTAGGCCAACCAACGAGGACAGTAAAATTGCGGCAGCCCCTATAGCTCTCTTAGTTCTGGAAGAAGGAATGGGGGAAAAGGCCAGCTCCATTTGGGTTTCTTCATAGTAAGTTATCCTGAGGAACAGTTGCACCATAATGCAGTAACCGTTACCTTTGTTGAGGACCATCCCATGGATACAAGGAGTTAGTCCTGTGGAGCAAGCCCACCACCCTGAGGTAGCTGAATAATAAGTGTTGTTTGAGATATCAGTGGTTTGATTACAGAGCCCTATAGGGAGCTGGGCTTTAGGGGACAGAACACAAGTTCCTGTTCCTGTCACTTGTTGGAGAGAAAGTTTACCATTTAGTCTCCAGGAGCACTGGGTCAGGTTGACCTGAGTGTGGTTTCCCATTATAGCTACTCCAGTATAAAATGGAGGTTGAGCATTCAGGCAGAGCCAGCATTCTTTTGTCAGGTTAGGTTGGGAGGAGTTAAGTACTTCAAAGGTCTTGGTCATCAATTTCCAGATAGGATAGCGGGAGAAGGGAAGGCTCTTAGTATGGGAATATATACCTGGGGAGTGACATTCCTGAATTGCGGTTGCAGATTCAGGTGTCATCGGGGTAATTGTGGCTGGCCTGGGTATCACCGGGGGAATTAAGACAGGGTTTGGACCAATGGGTATGGGCTCTGGAGAGTTGAGGACCTCTTTTTGTAAGACAATAGTAAATAATCTCCCTGGATGGCTCCCGCTGTTGGGGTACTGGCCCCCATGTTTTTCCTGTTTCCCACGTTCCATCCTGCACACCTCTGTTGGTAAAGATTATCTCGATAGGGTTGCAACTAGAGGAGGTTATATGGGAGGGACAGTTACCCCTCCATCTACCCTGGTGTGTGGGTGTGCCATTTCGGGTAACGGCAGTAAGATCATCCTTTATCAGGGGTGACCAGTAGATGTCTCCTGTGCTCACACAATTCCAGGAGTAACAGAAATAGTCTTTAGCCCCCCCACATTGTTTTCTCCAGCCTTTGTCAGCTCTACCAGGACAGACATAAAAGTAAGGAATATGCCATAGTAGGTCTGGGGCATAATCAGGGAAAAGTGCATGTAGGTCAAAACCCAATTCCGGGAACCAGGTGTTAAGGGGTGCTATTTTTGAGACTTGGGCCAAGATTTCTCCCGTAGAAGTCTCTGTGACTAGCCAAGTGAGGTTAAGGGGTTGATGAGTGTTGATGGGAGCAGTACATACAGTTGTAATAAGTGTTAGGATAACCATCAAGAATGGCACAGCTTCAGTTTGAGGGGATTGTCCGTATCTTTGTTGATCCTCCATTGTGAAGTATAATCCTCCAGTCAATCATGGGGATCTGCGAGCCAGATGTGGGTGTGATGAATCCAGGTGGCAATCCCGTTGACTTTAATAGCCATCGGTGTGGTTAGAAGCACAACGTATGGTCCTTTCCAGCGTGGTTCAAGGTTTTTCTGGCGGTGTCTGTGCATGTAGACCCAGTCTCCCGGTCAGTAGTTATGCAGGGTAGGAGGAGGAGCAGCCTCATAGATAGCCTTTAAATGAGGCCGTATATCTTTGTGAGCTTGTGCTACAGCTTCTAAAGAATCAAACAATTGTCAGTTATCAAATTCAGCAATCAACTCAGCCTTCAGATTAGGTAAGATGGGAGGAGGTCTCCCAAACATGATTTCATAAGGGGTTAATCCTAACTGATAGGGTGAATTCCACACCCAATATAAGGCAAAGGGAAGAAGAGCCACCCAGTCCCCGCCAGTCTCCATGGTTAATTTGGTAAGGGTCTCCTTTAGAGTCCTATTCATTCTTTCTACCTGACCCGAACTCTGGGGTCTATATGTACAGTGTAATTTCCATTTTGCCCCCAATATCTTGGCTAACTCTTGAGTTACCTGAGAAGCAAAGGCTGGTCCACTGTCAGAGCTCAGGAGCGCTGGCATACCATACCTCAGTAGGATGGCTTCCAGCAGTTTTTTTATGACCGTTTGTGCTGTCTCATGCTTGGTGGGGAATGCCTCAGTCCATCCTGAAAAAGTATCTACCAAAACTAGGAGGTATTTATAGCCATATTTACCAGGTTTTATTTCCATGAAGTCCATCTCCCAATGGGCTCCTGGTTTGGAGCCCCTTAGTTGAGTCCCCTGTCCCTTAGGCACACTTTTCGTGTTAGTTAGCCTGCAGCTAAGGCATTTGGTGACAATTGAGTCATTGAGTGGCATAAGGTTGAGCACCTTCAGGTGGGCGTTCCTTAGTAGGTCTTCTGTCTTCCAAGTCCCCAAATGGGTGGTCCAGTGGATGTGGTGGAGGAGGTTTTCAGCTAGGTCACCAGGCAAAATTATCTTGTGGTCTCCCGTATACCACCAATTGTCAATTTTTTTGGTTGCAGGTAGCATATGTATTGACCTCAAGTCTTCTTGAGAATAGTTGGGCTGATCTGGCAGCATTGGTGACCCTGGGTCGGGTAGCTGAGTGGTTAGGACAATGGTGGTTTGCAAGGCTCCCTCTCTGGCTGTTTGGTCTGCCTTTCAGTTTCCTCAGGCTATGGGCGTTTCTGCTTTTTGGTGCCCAGGGTAATGGATAATGGCCAATGTTTTTGGCAGCCATAAAGCAGCCAGCAGATCCAGGATCTCCTGTTTATTTTTAATGGTTTTTCCTTCTGCCATAAGTAATCCTCTCTCTTGGTATATGGCCCCATGTACATGTGCTGTGGCAAAAGCATATCGGCTATCAGTGTACACATTGAGCCTTTTATCTTTACCCAGTTCGAGGGCCTTGGTTAGGGCTATCAGTTCTGCTCTTTGGGCTGATGTTCCTGCAGCAAGAGCGGCTCCCCATATTACTTCAGATTCTGTCACTACTGCTGCTCCTGCATACCTTTGTCCATCCTGAATGAAGCTGCTGCCATCTGTGAACCAAGTGATCTCAGCGTCTGAGAGCGGTTGGTCAATCAGGTCTTTTCTGAGCCCGTGAGCTTGACTCAGGATCCCCACACAATCATGCAAGGGAGCTTCCAGGTCTGGGTCAGGCAGCAAGGTGGCCGGATTGAGAGTCGTACTCGGGAGGAAGTGGACACATGGGGGATTGAGAAGCAAGCTTTGATAATGGGTCATTCGGGCATTACTCATCAGCCATCTGTTGGGTGGCTGTTTTAAGATCCCCTCTATAGTATGAGGGGTGGTGACAAATAATTTCTGTCCAAATGTTAATTTATCTGCATCCTTGACTAGCAGAGCAGTTGCTGTGATAATTCTCAGGCAAGGAGGCCAACCAGTAGCCACCGGATCCAATTTCTTAGAGAAGTATGCCACTGGTCTACTCCAGGGCCCTAAAGTCTGAGTTAGTACCCCCTTAGCTATGCCTTTTCTCTCATCCATGAAGAGATGGAATGGCTTGGTGATATCAGGAAGTCCTAGGGCGGGGGCTGACAGCAGGGCCTGCTTTATTTTGGTGAAGGCCTTCTCTTGGTCTCCAGTCCATGTAAAAGGCTCACTTTCTCTGGTGACCTCATATAGAGGTTGGGCCAGCTCTGCAAAATTGGGTACCCAGAGGCGGCAGAAGCCTGCTGACCCTAGAAACTCTCAGACTGCCCTTCTAGTAGTAGGGGTGGGTGTCTTAAGCACTGTTTCTTTTTTGGCCTCTGTGAGCCATCTTTGTCCATCTTTAAGAATGTAGCCCAAGTAAATTACCTCCTTTTTACATATCTGGGCTTTTTTTTTGCGGAGACTCGGTAGCCGAGGTCTCCTAGGATGGCCAATAAGTCCTCTGTCCCTTGTCTGCATTCCGAGAAGCTGTCTGAAGCTATCAGGATATCATCGACATATTGTAACATGGTGAGTTGGGGGTGCTCTACCCGGTACTCACTCAGGTCTTCATGAAGGGCTTCATCAAAGATGGTTGGTGAGTTTTTGAACCCTTGGGGCAGTCTGGTCCATGTGAGCTGTCCATTGAATCCTTCCTCCTGGTCTTGCCACTCAAAGGCAAAGAGTGGCTGGCTCGGTTCTGCTAAGGGGAGGCTGAAGAAGGCATCCTTCAAATCTAAGACTGTATACCAAGTTCTGGAGGGGGTCAAAGAGCTCAGGAGTGTATAAGGGTTAGGCACTGTGGGGTGTATGTCCATGACCTGCTTGTTAACTTCTCTTACGTCTTGAACCGGCCAGTAGTCATTGGAGTTGGGCTTTTTTACAGGTAATAAGGGAGTGTTCCACGTGGAATGGCAAGGTATTAGAATACCTTGTTCTCGGAGGCATCGAATATGAGGGGTGATCCCTTTCCGGGCTTCAAGGGACATTGGATACTGTTTGACTCTAGCTGGTGAAGCCCCAGGCTTCAATCCCACCTATATGGGAGTGCAATGGGCTACAAATCCCATGCCTCAGAAACATGTTTCAGAAACAGTTGGATGTTTCTGCAGCCATTCGGACATTTCTACTCCCAACAGGGGAGTAGATCTTGGATGTAACCTATATTCATCCTCTAAGTGGAGGGTCAACACATGGATGGGTTGTCCCTCCCTATTAGTTACTTGAGTTCCTCCTGAGTCAAAGTAGATATGGGCTCCTATTTTAGTAAGCAAGTCCCTTCCTAAGAGTGGAGAGGGGCATTCTGGTATGACCATAAATGAGTGGGATACCCGGCCCGTGCCCAGTTCCACTGTTCTTCGGGTAGTCCATGGGTATTGGTTCATTCTGGTTGCCCCCTGCACCCAAAACCTTTTTTGTGATAGCTTTCCTTGTGGCCACGTCAAGACCGAGTGTTGAGCACCCGTGCCCACGAGAAAACTTACAGGTGTCCCCTCCACTTTAACAGTTACCCTAGGTTTGGGGAGGGGGTCCAAACCCCATCCCCACTAGTCATCTAGTTCCTCTAATTCCAGGACTTGGGTGCGGCCCCCACCATCATCTTGCTTTGTAGGCAGTTTTTCAGGACATTCCTTGATCCATTGGCCTAGCTTTCTACTACAGTAAGCACACTGGTTTTTCTGTAGCTTAGGGTGCCCCACTGTGGGCCCTCTCTTACCTGGGTCAGCTGTCAATCTATGTAGTTGACTTGCCCGGTCTCCTGGTAATTCTACAGTGGAGGCCAAGAGAATCTTGGCAAGTTGACGAGTCTGCTTTGCCCCTGCTTCCAAGGTTGCTTGAGCTTGTCTCTCCTCTGGAGTTTCCCGATGGTTGTAAACCTTTTCAGCCACTGCCAGGAGCTCCTGTAGGGACCTGTCAGCTAACCTATCCAACTTCTGCAGTTTACGCCTTAAGTTGGGGGCTGACTGATTTACAAATGTTAGAATAATTGCATTCTTATCTTCAGGTGCTTCCAGGTTCATAGGAGTATAAGTACGGTATGCCTCTAGCACCCATTCCAAGAAGGCTGCTGGCGATTTGGCCTTGTCTTGTTGTACATCGCTTACCTTGGCCAAATTAATGGGCTGCCTAGCGGCAGCTCGGAAACCCCCCATTAGAGCCTGGTGGTAGACCCAGAGCCTCTCCTTACCTTCTGCCCTGTCATAGTCCCAATTGGGTCTGGTCAAGGGGAAGCCCTCATCAATCCTGGCTTGGTTGGTGGTTGGATTGCCATCATCTCCGGGAACCAACTTGTGGGCTTCCACCTGGATTCTCTCTCTTTCCTCAGTTGTAAACAGAATCTGTAATAACTGCTGACAGTCATCCCAGGTAGGCTGGTGGGTGAATAGGACAGAGTCTAAAAGATCAATAAGACCCTGAGGTTTTTCAGAAAACTTTGGTGTTTGTAATTTCCAATTATAAATGTCACTAGTAGCAAAGGGCCAATATTGCATTTGTTGGTCTCCTGTTTTGTTGCATGGCCCTATTGCCCATAGCGGGAGAACTGTGGAATCAGCTGATGGCTTTAGCTGCTCCAGTTGAGCCCTTCTCCTGGTATGAGGGGGACTTCCAGCTCTGGGAGTTGGGCCTGCCTCAGCTTCCCCAGGGCCCTGTGGCTCAGGTGCCTCCACCCTCAGTGGTGGTGACTGATAGGGTGGTGGTAGAGACAAGAGGTGCTCCTCAGTGCCACCCTATAAGACAGGGTAGAAAGGGGCAGTAGAGTTCTGGGCAGTAGACCCAGGGGCAGAGGGCTTAGTTTCGTTTTTCTGTCACTCATTTTCCTGCAAAGTTAAGACGGTTACTTTTGGCGACCTCGGTGGCAAGAGGGACTTGAGCTAATTAGGGGGGTCTTCCACTAAGACTTGCCAGGTCACAATATAAGGGACATGGTCTGGGTGTCCTGGCTTTCCAAAGATTACATCTTTGGCCCTGCAAATGATAGGAAGGTCTAGAGTGCCCTCTGGTGGCCATCTGATGCCGAATGTTGGCCATTCATTCCTGCAAAGAATAGAAAGTCTGCCTTTTTAAATTTCCAGTCCTTGTTCCCTAACTTGAGCTCTAACATCTGAAAAGTGGTCTGAAAATAAACTGAGAGGCATCACCTGCTTCTGTCCCATTTCTAAAGTTGTATAAGTCACACACACAACAATGAACACTAAGACTATACACACAGAAACAATATTCCCTGGTGCCGTAAGGCAAAAGTGAAAATGAGACGATGGCCTCTCACCATTCCGCTGGCACGACCTGCTTCATCCCCTCAGCTCAACCAATGGGGTCCAATCCCAGTCCGGTGGGCTCGGGACGTCTCCCGAGTACCACAGCCTGGGGTCTTCCAGTGTGTCTGCCTAGACCACCTGCAGGCTATCCTAATAGGGCACGATACTCAGAACAGACATCTCACAGAAACAGGACACTTACCAACCGGCATCAGGCTCCACGAATCGGGGGTCCTGGGGGGGTCTTGGGGATCCCGGACGAGCCCCCAAATGTTGTGCCCAGATCGCAAGACCCCAAAAGACCACTCAGGAGTCCGAAGTCACATGCAAAAACAAAGACCCTTTATTTGGGCTTAAGCTCAGGCTCTCCGACCTCACCGACACAGCGGATCTGCACAGAGAGCCCTGAGCCTCACCCCGGCTGGGTTTTTATTGGGGAAGGGCAGGAGGCAGGACTTCCCATCCTGGGGGTGAACAGATTGGACATTATTCAGGTAAGGGGGTCTTGGCATACTGGGATTGGTTTTTACTCCACTGTGTCTTGGCCATGAGGAATGTGGCCAGAGTTATTCCTTATTTGGTCACCTTGAGCAAAGGCCTGCTTTGCTCAGTTATGTTTGGACCAGGGCTGAGATGGTGCATTCCAGAGGAGGGTTCATACCCAGGTTATGGTGCATTCCAGGGATGAGGTCGTGCTCAGGTCAGTTCTAAGAAACAAAGAGCCTGAGCCTGAAATGATGATGTCCCTGTTATTTTTTAACAGGGCCCCAACAATCATATCTTAATATAATAATGTTTTTTAAGAACTTTTAGTGTAATTTTTCATAGTTGCAATAATAGCATAGACATAGCCCATGCTTTCTTTTTCCCTTTGCATTTTGTAGACTCTTTTCCATGTTCGTTTTTTAAACATAATCTTCCTATTTACCGTTTTAGTTCATGTTTATCACTTTACCAGTTAAAAATGATGATTTGAAAATGAGTTATAGTAGAAAGAAACAGATTCTATGAGAAAAATTTCACCTTCTGCTCTTTTCTATTTGAGAAGAGTCCTAGAACATACAAGTCATTCTTCTCTTCACTTAAGTCATGTGTTTACTTATTTTTTTAAATTCTCTTTTCCCCCTTTTACTCAATACTTAAAATGTTTTTTTCATATAGATACCTAATACTGAAATTTACTTGGAAAGAATGAGTGAAAGAAGTGTTCTCTGAAGGGATCTTGGTTAGCATTAAAGGTAGGGCTTTTCATTTTATTTGACATTTCATTCCAAATGAGAGCAGAAGGAACTGCAGCTGTATTTTGTTAAGTGCAGAATTGTGCGCATATGTGTCTGAGGGATTTTCTCACACAGTTTTGCAAATGATCATCGATGCTTTGGACTGGTTCCTTACAATGTGAGCACTTATTTGAGCATGTTCTTGGGTTGTCTGCATTCAGATGACCTGATTTGTAATATATGGTTTTCTTCTCTGTGGTTTGCATATCAGAGCTGACACTCCTGCCTCCCTCCCCTCCCCCAACTGCTGTTGCTGCTGCCTCTACCTGGGATTATGCAGATTCTGGTTTAAACCTTTTTATTCTTTTCTCTAAGTGAACAGCATGATGGGTTTCAGCTCTGCAAGCAAATGATAATGGATTTCAGCTTTCACCAATAACATTTGGAAACTACATGTCTTAAATGATCTGTGTGCCACATAATAAAAAGGGTCACCCTGTTCTAATGATGTGAAATAATAAATAAAAATGAAAAGCCATAAATATATAGAGGCTAACCCTTAAAATGAAAGTGTGTGTGTGTGTCCTAATTATTTTTAATGGAGCTAATTTTATGATTTTTTTTCAAGCTGGACACAAAGGATAATCTTATTTGTTTGTGGTTTGTGGGATGATTAAGGGAAAGTGGTTAAGATGGGGTTAATTTATTCTACCAAATATTTAAGGTTGTAAAACGTTTCAACAAATCAAAGTCATCATTTGAGAAATAACAATGATAATAAGCTAGCATTGGACACCACAAGCCTGAGTCCTTCCTACCTCTTAATCTAAGTATTATAGTTTTATATAAAATAAAGCATAGTTATCATTGGTTAGCACTTGTGTTGATCTCACTGGGTGTACCATGCTTTTTAGTGCCATAAGGTAGTCATTTTTTTTGTCTAAAACAACAGAGTGTTTCCTGTTTATAAAGATAGACCTAATGTATGGAGGATGTGAAGACAGTTTTGATAAATTTGTCAGGCTTGGGCTCTGTTGCTGTGAACCAGAGAGGGAGGAGAGGTAGGGCATCAGGAAAGGGCTGGTGGGGCTGGCACCAGGAAAGACCAGGGGTGTTTGTTTCTTGGAAGAGCAGTGACCTTGAGAGGTGAAGTTACAGAAGCCTCAAATCCCAGTGTTGGTTCTTTCAGCAAAGAAATCTTTGCCTTACTCCCTTATTCACATTTCCTGCTAGCAGAGAATGAGAAACAGTTTCCCGACTTTACTAAAAACACATTTTAACGTGCTTCTCTCTCCTACATTATTTATTCTGTAAGAGGAAGAGGAGGCTGTTCTGCTCCAGATGCCTGGGGAGGACCCTTCCTCATTTTACATTCTTGAATTATTTGGGCCTTGCACATGGAGCATGGACTCCTGGCAGCGACACCTCCACCTCTGCATAATATGTCTTTCAAGTGAGAAGACGTTCCTGGTCAATACTGAATCAATTTGCTCTGGCAGTCTAATTGAATGTCTTCCTCAGACAAATAGGTCACCAGGGGAAAGGGTAAAACCTTGATATGCAGATCTGAACTGAAGCCCCAGAGGAAGCTGTTTTAAATATATATATTCCTCTTGAGATGGAGCTTATGTAACATATGCAGGTTAGTTATTTGCTCAGCAAAATGAACATAAATCAATCTGTTTTATCCTTTTTTTGTTTGAGTACTATTGTACTTTAACTTATCCCTGGGGAGAGAGAGAAGAGAAGAGAAGAAAATTCTAGAATGGCTGCTAGGATGAGGAATTTCTTGTGTTAAAGAAAGCTTGGAGTATGTAGAGCTCTCTTTTTATATAGTGCAAATTTCCATTTAGCAAGTTACATCAATGATGTTTAAAGTATTTGACATTCTTAATGTTTACAAACTACAGCTTAGTTTTTCTCTGTGTTCCTCTGGGAGTGTGTATAAAGAGACAGGAGACTCTTAGTATTGTGTTAGCTTCTTTCTGTTTCCATCTAGGGGTGCAAATTCTTTTTCTCTGCTGGAAAAAGAATTAGGAGGCAGGAAAATTGTGACAGAGTTTAGCAAAGATTTATTGTGAAGTAGAAAATGAAAGTAAAGCAGGAACTTCTCCCATGAAAAAGGGGACCTGGAAACTGCTAGTACACTGAAGTCCTTCAGGATTCCCCCTTTTAAGATCCGCCCTTTCTGCTCCCCAGATGGTGTGGGGTGTACCCTCCATTTCAGGGCTTCAGTCACCCTCTGTCCACACAGTTTTTCCCTGTCCCTGATTGGATCCCCCAGGGAAGTGTCCTTTGGTTGGTTCCCTCATCTGTGTGCATGACCACTGCACTGGAGTGCAGGGGTCCTCCCAGTCCTAGGACACATCAGGAGAAAGCCCCTGCATCACTGGTGCCATGTGGAATCTGTCATCTTTCCCTAAATATCTAAATCCTACTTTCTGTCCCTCATTACCAAAAACTTTCTTTCGGTCCTTTCACAGTCTTAGCACCAGTTTGCAGAGGAGGAAATGCAGAAAGCTTGGGTAACTTTCTGTTTTCAACTAAATTCTGGCATCTCCAGGCCAATGCTTCTTTTCCCACAGGGTTGAAGTTTGGCAGCTTGTTCTCACAATGGTGTCTTGGAGAAAGCTCTTTTATTCCTCTTTCACCTACTGAAGGAAATCAGAATATGCCATCCCCAAATATGCCTCTTCATTCTAAAAGTTATTTTGAGCTGAGGGGAAGTGGTGGGAAGCCTGTGCTACCCATTGCTTTGTTGTTGTTACCTAAAAGCAGGATATATAATTTGACAAAGGCAAAGCTGTCTGTCCTTCCAATTCCCTCTCCACCCCCTACCCCCAGGACATCAGGACAAAGGTTAACCACTGCCACTGAAGACTACTCTAGACCTTTATCAGCCTGGAAGTAGCATCATAATCTACAGAACAAGCTCTGCTCACTAACCTTGGTCTACCTTCCCACAATTTGCTGTTCCTAGAGTCCCTTTTGTCTCTAAAACTTTTCTGCTCTTTGTTGAATATATTTTATGAGCTGGAATTCAAAGCTCCTTCTTAGAGAAGTACTGGTTATTTAAATGTGTCCCATTTACATGAAATATACATGCTAATGAACTTTTGCTTACTTTTTTCTTCGAAACTACCTTTCTTTTCTGGAGTCCATCCCACTAATGACCCTAAGGTAGGTAGAGGAAATTATTTTTCCTCCCCTATAATACATGACAAGAAAATGTATGCATATTCTGTGTATTAATTCCCCTCTTCTGCTACAAATTACTACAAATTTAGTGGCTTAAAACAGAACACGTTCATTATTTTTCAGTACTACAAGTTAGAAGTTCCGCCATGGGTCTCACTGGGCTACAATCAAATCTACCAGCTTGTGGGTGTTCTCTTTTGAAGGCTGTAGGGAAGAATCTGTCTTCTTGACTTGCTGGCTTCTAGAAGTTGTCCTGCCCTAAATCATGGTTCTTTATTTTCAAGGCCAGCCATGGCTGGTTGAGTCTTTACATGTTCTATCACTCTAACTTCTGTTGTCACATCTCTGATCCTCTCTTCTATCTTCCTCTTTCACTTGTATGGACTTATGATTCTCTTGGGCCCACAAAGGAATTCAGGATAACCTTCCTATTTCAAGGATAGATGATTAACAACTTTAATTACCCTTCATAGTGTTGCC